GCCAGGTTTGTCTTGTAACATGACCTTCCCACTCCCACAAAAGCTATTCTATAACTTCTCCAATTTCCTCAAACTTCTAGCCTCTCTGTCTTCTAGCCTCTCTGTCTGACCCTCTGTCCCTTATACTCTCATACACTCATTTTCACCACAGTGCCTCATTCTTCACTGATGAAATGGAAGTCATCAGGTGGGCCTCCTTCATTTTTCCATTATCATATCTACAAATTCAACAAAATTTGCATCTGTTTTTCACTTGCAATATAGGAAAGGTGTCAACAGCTGCAGTCAGCCATAGGGGTGAAGTTATAGGAACAAAACAAAACAAAACAAAAACGCAGAGTTCTATTTACTTAGGGTGTGGTTTTACTACCAAATGAATCAGGCAAAGAAAGGGGAGCAAGTGAGTAGAGGCATGTGTGAGGTAGTGATTAAGATGACGGACTATGGTTTTAAATGGGAGTAAAGAGAGAAAAGAGGATGTAATAAGGTGGGGACAGTGACAAGGCAGAAGCATCAATAGATTTCAGGTTCTAGTGGGGTCTCTGTTCATATTCTTTGTCTATTTATTAGATCATTTCTGTTTTCCTTTTTTTTTAATAAGATTATATGTTCTGAATACTATCTTATGTTCGTTGTAAAGTTTACACTTTCTATCTGTGGCTTTTATTTTGAATCTTTTTAATGATATATTTTGATGCATATGTTTTCAGTTTTTCCAAATGTGTACTTTATGGTTTATGCTTTTTAGTCTTGTTTTGAAATTTCTTTTCTACACTGAGATCACAAAGGTATTGATTTTCATCCTAGGGTTTTAAGGTTTCACATTTTACAGTTAGGTCTTTACTTCACCTAGAATTGATTTTTATTTACAGTATGAGGTAGAGATCCATCCAGTCTTCAACCTTTCTCAGTCTGGCTTCTGCTTCACCAATTTACCAAAAATATTCATGCATTTCTTGGCAAAAGCAAAAAGACACTTTCCAGTTCTAGCTTTTCATTTCACTCAATATTTCAGAAACATTTGAGTAAATGTTTTGGCAGCTGTCTAATAAAAAGTCTTTTCTTATGGTTTCTTTAATACTGCACTTTCCTGTTTTTTTCTTAATTCTATGAAGGCTCTTTAACAGTGTCCTTTAATAAAAAATAAAAATAACAAAAAAAGTTCATGTATGAAATGCTTTCTATGTGCCAGGCTCTGTGTTAGTACTCCCCCCTGCCATTTAATCCTCACGCCAGACTTTGAGACATAATTGGCACCAATGAGGAAACAGAGCCTCAGAGAAATTATGTAACTTGCCCAAGATTATTTAAATCCAAGCAGTTTGCTTTATAGCCTGAGCTCTTAACCACTATGTCATGCTGCCTCTGTTGCCTCAATCTCATGTCTACATTTTAGAGTTTTTCATAGCTTGACCTAGGACCCTCTTCTTACACTATACACTCTAAGTAATCTTCTCTACTATAGCTTGAAAAGCTATTTATATGCCAATGAAGGAGTTTTGGTGGCGCACTGGTTAATTCATTTGGTTACTAACCAAAAGGTCAGTAGTTCAAACCCAGAGGAAACAGATGAGACAGTCTGCTTCTATAAAGAGTTACAACCCTGGAAACTCTCTGGGAACAGTTCTCCTCTGTCCTATAGGGTTGCTATGAGTTGGAATTGACTGTATGGCAGTGGGTTGGGTTTTTTTTTTTTGTATATGCCAATGACTTGCAAATTTGTATTTGCAAATAAGAGCTAGAGCTCCTTCCTGAGCTGTGCATGCAATTTTGTCACTTGCGTAACTCACAGGGATCTCTACCTTAACACATCTAAAATTAAATTTTTGATCTTATCCCGGATCAATCTCCTCCATCTCAGACACTGTCAACTCCATCTACACAGCATCTCTTGTCAGAAACCTGAAAGTTATTCTCACAGCTTTCATTCAATCCTTCATAAAGTTCTTTTAATTTACCTGTAAAATACATCTTGAGTCTGTTTGCTTCTCTCTGTTCACTTTCACCACCCTCATTCAAGCTGACCACTACAAGAATCTCCTAATTGACCTGGCCTGCCTTCTCCTCCCCCATTTTTCCACACAGCATCTGGAGGAATCTTTTACATTTTGAATCAATTCACATTACTCTGCTGTCAAAAACTCCTAAATGGTTCATGAATTGTTGTTGTTATGTGCCGTCAAGTCATGAAGAGACAGTTCAGTTCACCAATATTCAATATCCTTTTTAGTAGGAGAACTTGAATTTAGGTTTGGTATGTCACTTGCTTTGGCTAATGAAATGTGCACAGAAATCATATATGTCATTTACAGGCAGAAGCTTCTCCACGTTTTTTTTTCTTCCCCCTTCTCTCTTTGCTGTGGCTAACAACAGTGTTCCAGATAGCGACTTCCTTGGTCCCAGAGTAAAGACAACAACATTCCAAGAGCAGAGCCCCCTGATGTCCTACAATGGGCACATGCATGAATGAGAGCTTTACCCTGGTTGTAGGCCACAGAGATTCTGGAATTAGTTGTTATTGCAGCAAAACTGAGTTCATCCTGACTGATGTAGCTTCTTACTGCTCTTGGTTTAAATGTCAGGATATTTAATATGACCTACAATGCTCTGTATAATCTGGCCTCAGTCTGCATTTCCAACCTCTGCTTGTGTCCTGCTGTCGTTCATTATTCTCTAGTCACAGTGGTCTTCTTTTAGTTCTTTGAACTTAAGTTTTTTTCTTGTCAAGAATGTAAAAAACGCAAATAATACTATTTCCCACACTCTTCACCAGTTAATCCCTACTTATCTTTCACGTTTTAGTTTAAAAATCACCTAAACTTCAGAGATGCTTCCCTCAGTCCCCAATTTCTATTAGGCTCCCTTCATATTCTCATTGTCATTGTTAGCTGCTGTTGAGTTGGCCCTCGACTCATGGTGATCCCGTGCACAATCTATGTTCTCATTAAATCCTACAATTTTCCTTCATTATGCTCATCTCAGTATGTAATTGGATTTTTCTCTGATTTACAATACTTTTAGCTGCAAATGACAGAATATCTGATGAAAAATGGCTTAAATAATAGAGGTTTTATTTGTCTCCTGTCCAAAGAAGTCTAATGAAAGCTGGTCCCAGAATTGTTTCACCGGTTCAGTGAACCGATTCAGAACTTGAGCTTTTTCCATCCTTCATCTCTGGCATCCTTAGGGTTGACTTTCACCTTTGAAATGCTTCATCATTCGTACAGAACATAAGGGAACATTCAGCACTACCAGTTCACAGGGAGTAGATTTAAAAACATGAACCCAGAATAATACTAATGGGACAAAGACTCCCAAGTCTCAGTTCATAGAAAATTCAGATACACGCAGAAAAGGATCTCCTTCACTTGTCTAAACTAGTCTGTCTCCTGAGTCCCGCCTGTTGGATAATGGGGAAAAAATGTTAACTAAATATCTAATTTGTTGTAAAGCTTAGACTCTTTCTATAACCAAGTTAATTCTTTTAGGTACTATTTACTTCCTTTCAGAGAAAAACTGGTTTGCTTACTATTTCTCTCCCTAAGAGAGTATCACTCTGCTTTGGGGAGGGATATGGCTAACTTGTGACTTGTATGGCATTGGGTCAAGAAGCAAACTCCATGTGCAGATACTAGATAGTATGCTGGTTGGCATCAGCTAGTTCCTTGTCTCAGTTTAAATGCTACTCTCCATAGTTTGGGTCTATTTTGGCTTGAGCAGTGTTTCTGGTTTTGTGCCTTGGCTCCTGCTGGTTAGGGAACCTTGAATTTCTCACTAAATCTTCCATTTAACCCACTGGCCATGAGATCCACTACCATTACACAAGAGCAATTGGCTCCAAATATTTTTATTCACCTACGTGCAATTTTTGTACATTTACTTAAAAATTATATATACAGGAAGTTCCTGACTTCTGATGTATTCTAGCTACCATGAAGGGCACTTATAATCATCTTTTTTTTCTTTCTTTCTTTTTTTTTTTTTTTGTACATCTTATCCTTAGTAATAGGAGCTCTGGTGCAGCTGTGGTTCAGGCATTGAACTGCTAATCAGAAGGTTAGTGATTCAAACCCACCAGTAGCTCCGTGGGAGGAAGATGAGGCAATCCACTTCCCTAGAGGTTTATATAGCCTTGGAAATCTGCTGAAGGACTCTATGAGCCAGAATCAACTTGATGGCAGTAGGTGGGATCAGTAGTAAATAGACTACATACAATGTTGCAGCATGTAATTTGCTAATGTTACCATTCTCAGATGTAATGTTTCCAAGTCCCAAAGACAAATACTAATTGGATTTATAAAGATACTGATAACAAAATGCAATAATAATAAAAATTTGAAAAAAAAAAAGTATTCCACTTATATCAGAACCAACTTAAAGAGGAGTCAGAGCATCAGAACCCCCTTAGTAAATCCGGGACTACCTGTACATTCAGTAGTCAATTAGTTTAAATATTAGAAAGCTCATTTCCCCCTTACTTTCACGTATAGAAAAAGAAGTCCTAGTATTTTCTCCCTTGGTTACTAAGCGTTTGAATTTCAACAGCCCCATCGTAAAGAAGATGAAGCTTTGGCCCAGTAAGAGGAAGGGAAACAGGATTGGCCCAGGAAGACCACATCAAGGCTTATCTACTTTAACTTTGGCTCTGAACACAAAACGGAAAGATGTTGCTAAAAATTCATAACCACGGGACTACCCTCAGCCAGTTTGGAGTTTAAGTTAAGACTATGCTGTTTGGAAATCGCCAGACCAAAATACCAGGAAACAGAAATGGTGGTCTCAAGCTGATACCCCCTAGCCACGCTGAAGGAAATGCAGAACAGGCCCGGCGCCCGACTGGAGGGACCCTCGCCTTGTCCGCTGTCTTCGAACGCAGAGGTTTTAAGTCTAGAGGCTTTGGATGGAACCCAGAGGCTTTCGAACTGCGAGTTCGAGGTGCACTTGGCCTGCGAGCGGGACGTCCCTCCCCACCTTTCAGGGTCCCTGGCCCTGTGTGAATTATGCTGCGCCGGGTATGCGGCTTCCTACTGCCCACCGTGGCCAGCCAGGAATATGAATCTGATTGTCTTTTTGAAGAGCTCTTTCAGAAGCTGGACCACAACCCGGATGGGATGGTGGACATCACCGAACTGCAGGAAGGACTGGAAGCCGTGGGCATCCACCTCGGCCAGAAGGCGGAGGAGGTGCGCGAGGCCGGGGTGAAGTGTTGCCTCAGACCCTTCGAAGCACCCCCCTTGGGTCGTAAGTTGTTTTCGCGTGAGCTGCTTGCCTCATAATTACCCCGCTTTCGAAACCATTTCCACAAATTTATTTCCTGTTAGAGAACTCCAAAAACCAAATCAAATTCACTGCCATCCAATTGATTCTGACTCCTAGTGAACCTCATTGGATTTCAAAGGCTGTAAATCTTTACCGCCTCACTTCCACAAAGCGGTTGGTGGGTTCAAACCACTGAGCCTTATAGTTGCAGCCAAATGCCTTAACCACTGCACTACTAGAACTCCTACTAAGGTGGAATGTAGAGTGACTGCCATCCATCTCACCTAAGTGGGGCTCACCATCAAAACAAGACCTGGTTGCTTTATAGAGTAAAATGAATGAACGTTGGGTAGAAGAGCAAACTAGTCAATCTCTAAAATTCTTTAAAGTTCTAATACTCAAAGATCCTATGTTTTTAGTGTTAGAACTTTTACTCTAAAAACGAAAGTATTGACAATTTATGGCAGAGTATCTAATTTACCAGAAGGCTGGAGGTTCAAACCCACCAGCCACTCCTTGGAAGGTTGGGCAAGCTACTTCCTTAGTAATACCGCCTGGGAAACCCAAGGTGGGGTCACTATGAGTTGGGTCGACTCCATGGCAGTGCCTTTGGTTTAGTTTGGTTTATCTAATTTACATGAGAGAATCATACAAGTATTTACCATCATTTGTAAACTACCTTGTTTGAATCTATGCCTCTAATATTATATTTTTCTTTCTTACAGACAATTTTAAAATCTATTGATACTGACACACATAATCTACTGAACCTTGGCAAATTTATTGAGTACCTTAGAGATCATGAGAAACAATTGAAGTTGGCTTTTAACAGTTTGGACAGAAATGATGATGGTTTGTTTTTATACAGTTAGTGAACATATATGTTCAGTAATTAAAATATGTTTGTAATTAATAATAAAATATGCAAAGGTTTATTATTAGATATTTGGCTTTGTTGAAAGGTTACTAAAAAACCTCCTTTATATAATTCTATCATTTGTTTTGCTGTTATTACTTCCAAGGAATATTTTTTAAATTATGTAGTTTTTATTTACATACTATATTTTACAAACCAAACCCACCAAGAAAAAAGGCTGTGACCTGTGAACAATATGCTTCATCATTATTATTAACTCTTGACTGCTCACCAGAAGGCTGGCGGTTCAAACCCACCAGTCACTCCTCGGAAGGAAGGTTGGGCAATCCTACTTCTGTAGTGATACTGCCTCAGAAACCCAAGGAGGAGTCGCTATGAGTCGGGGCCGACTCGACGGCAAAACAACAACAACAACAACAACCACACACATATATATATATTGAGTCCATAAGACTGTGGGACTGATCTATTGTAAAGGTGGGTTTTCAAAATACTGTGTGAGGTCAAACTTGCTGGATGATCAATGGAAAATAATTTTTTTTTTTTTTTATTAAAGTGTCTCATATACATTTGCTTCGATATGGGGCTGGTGACACAGGACGCTTAGATGATGTTCTTTTAAGGACCGTGTGGTATTAATAAACAATTTACTTTTTCTTCTTTTTAAGAGCTAGTGTGTCTCAGAGCTTTCTGTTTGCTAGTTGTCTCTTTGGAAACCTTTTGTCCTCATCACCACCCGTCTGTGGGATTTGGAGTTTAGTAGAGTGGGCTGCTATGGAGTGATGGGAGGAATTTTGCTCAGTATAATTATCCCCCAGATTCACCCAGTTATGTTTTGTGGACTCATTGTTATTCCTTATAGTTGTATAGTATTTGTATCCATTTTGTATATATGTACCACAATTTGTTTATCCATTCATCCACTGATGGGCGCTTAGGTTATTCCCATCTTTTTGCTATTGTGAATAATGCTGCAATGAACATAGGTGTGCATATATCTCTTCATGTCACTGCTCTTAAATCTCTAGCATATGTATCTAGGAGTGAGATTGCTGGGTCATAAAGTATTTCTATTCTAGCTTTTTGAGGAAGCATCATACTGTTTTCTGTAGTGTTTGCACTATTTAACAAACCCACTAGCAGTGTATAAGAGTTCCAGTATCTCCACAACCTCACCAGCATTTGTTGTTTTCTGTTTTTTTTTTTTTTTTTTTATCCATGACATTTTTGCAGAGGTGAGATGGTATCTCATGGTAGTTTTGATGTGCATCTCTCTAATGGCTAATGATGGTGAGCATTTTTTCATGAGTTTGTTAGTCACCTGAATGAATGTTCTCTTAGGTGAAGTGTCTGTTCATGTTCTTTGCCTACTTTTTATCTTTTTTTTGTTGAGTTACTGAAATTTTCAAAATATTTTACAGATTAAATCCTTATCAGATATGCCATTGCCAAATACTTTCCTCCAGTCTGTAGGTTCTCTTTTTATTCTCTTGGTAAAGTCTTAATGAGCATAAGTATTTAATTTTTAGAGGTCCCAGTTATCTAAGAGAGCTCTGGTAGCACAGTGCCTAAGGCACTTGATTGCTAATCAGAAAGCTGGCGGTTCAAACGCACCAGCCACTCCTCGGAAGGAAGATGGGGCAATCTACTTCCAAAGAGATATCACCTCGGAAATCCAAGGAGGAGTCGCTATGAGTCGGGTCTGACTTGACAGCACATAACAACAACAACAGTTATTTAATGTATCTTCTATTGTTCATGTGTTTGTAGTTGTGTTTGATAGACTATGTAGGCCAAAAATTATGTCTCTTAGTTTCGTTCCTATGTTATCTTTCAGAAATTTTACAGTTTTAGCTTTAACATTTAGGTCTTTGATCCATTTTGAGTTGGCTTTTGTGTATGGCGTGAGGTATGGATTCTGTTTAATTTTGCAAATTGATATCCAGTTCTACCAGCACCATTTGCTAAAAAGATGATCTCTTCCCCCATTGAATGGGCTTCAACCTTTTGTCAAAGATCAGCTGTCTGTTGCTGGATGGATTTACTTCTGGGTTCTCAGTTCTATTCTGTTGGTCTATGTGTCTATCATTCAGTCAGCACTAGGCTGTTTTTTATTACTGTGACTGTATAGCAATGAATGCTTTTTACCTAAAGTCTGAGAAATAGTCATAATATTTTGACAATGTTTTTACATGAACAAAGCTCCATGTATCAGTGGTGGTTAAGTTAGTTTCAAACAACGAATAAAAGTTAGTTAAGTGAAGAGTTGGACTGCTCTAGGCAGAGGAAATAGGTTGTTTGAAGGCTCTGGTCACCTCAGTAGAACATGTCATGTCTGAGGAACTGGAGGAAGACCAGTGAGGCTGAATCTGAGAATGAGATGGAAATTAGTCAGAGATGAGGCTCGAGAGGCAGGCATGGGCAAAGTTATGTAGACCTTGAGGCCTGAGAAGGTGTCTGGACTAGATCCTAAAGGGTAATGAGATGGGAAACCATTAAAGAATTTTCAGTGAGGATGTAACATGATCAGATTTGTGTGGAGTGTGGATTAGGGATCTGAGCTAACATGGGACTACTGTGATGGGGATAAGTGATTTGAGAATATTTAGGCATAGAATATATCACAATTGGTGAGTGGTTGTGCAAGACGAGGGAAAGGAAGGAGTGAAGAATGATCAGTTTAAGCAATGTGGAAGTGTTGATACAGGAAATATAGTATGAGCTCTCCAGTCTCTTCTTTTATCTTTACAAACAGCCAAAGTAATCAGAATATTGATGTTTTATGGAATGTTGTAATAATGTACTATTATTTGCTTCTATATCATTTAAACCTTCCATTTCATCATTTTTTTCTTTATTCCTTTAAAGGAGTGATTGATGCTTCAGAAATTGTCCATACTCTCAGTTTAATAGGTTTAAATATTTCTGAAGAAAAGGCAATGAAGATTCTTAAAAGGTCAGCCCTTATATATGTGTATATGTTTAAAAAAAATGTCTCTTTTCCATCATTATTCATACCAGTTTTTTTTTTAACTGAGATATAATTTATGAGCTAGATAGTTAAATTCTTTAAAGTGTACAGGTCAGTGATTTTAAATATGCATATACATTAAAAATTATTTTTAATTTACTTTAAAACCTTTTTCCTTATAAAATGACAACTATGGAAACTTGAAAAGAATGAATAATTGCTTACAGTTCTTGAGCATTTTTTTACTAGCACTCTTCTATGAACTTCACATATATTACCTCTTTTAACCCTCATAAGACTTTAGAGGCAAAGTGTATTGATTTCCTCATTTCATGGATGAGGAAATTGTTGACTAGTGAGGTTAAGTAACTTGCATAAGTAGCTTGTGGATTATTACCACTATTCACCACCCAAATGTTATCTCACTGATACATTTTGTTGTTGTTAGATGCCATTGAGTTGGCACAGACTCATAGCAACCCTATGTACAACATAACAAACACTGCCTGGTCCTGCACCAGCCTCACAATCCTTGCTATGCTTAAGCTCATTGTGATAGCCACTGTGTCAATTCATCTTGTTGAGGGTCTTCCCCTTTTTTGCTGACTCTCTCCTTTACCAAGCATAATGTCCTTCTCCAGGGAATGGTCTCTTTTGACAGCATGACCAAAGTAGATGAGACAAAGTCTGGCCATTCTCACTTCTAAGGAGCATTCCAGCTGCGCTTCCTCCAAGACAGATTTGTTCCTTCTTCTCGCAGTTCATGCTATTTTCAGTATTCAACTCTCCTTCAGTCTTCCTTATTTATTATCCAGCTTTCACATGCTTATAAAGCAATTGAAAATACATGGCTTGGGTTGAGTGCACCTTAGTCTTCAAAGACAATCTTTGCTCTTCAGCACTTTAAAGAGGTCTTTTGCAGCAGACTTGCCCAGTGCAACACATCATCTGATTTCTTGACTGCTGTTTCCATTGGTGTTGATTGTGGATTGTTGTTGTTGTTATGTGCTGTCAAGTCAGAGCCGACTCATAGCGACCCCTCCTTGGGTTTCCGAGGCAGTATCACTACTGGAAGAGGGGGCAATCTACTTGATTGTGGATTAAGTAATATGAAATCTTTGACAACTTCAATCTTTTCTCCATTTATCATGATGCTGCTTATTGGTCCAGTTGTGAGGATTTTTATTTTCTTTATAATGAGGTGTAATCCATATTGCACACTGTAGTCTTTAATTTTCATCAGTAAGTGCTTCAAGTCATCTTCACTTTCAGCAAGCAAGGTTGTGTTGTCTGCATACCACAGGTTGTTATTGAATCTTTCTCCAATGCTGATGCCACATTTTTCTTCATATAGTTCAGCTTCTTGGATTATTTGCTCAGCATACAGATTGGATAAGTATGGTGAGAGGATACAACCCTGACACACACCCTTCCTGCTTTTAAACCATGCAGTATCCCCTTGTTCTGTTCAAACAACAGCCTCTTGGTCTATGTACAGGTTCCTCATGAGCACAACTAATTGTTCTAGAATTACCATTCCTCTCAACGTTATCCATAATTTGTTATGATCCATACAGTTGAATACCTTTACATAGTTGTGGTAGTTAAGGTTATATGTCAACTTGACTGGGCCTGGTTTTGAGTGGCTGGGCAGCTGGATGTTATTATTCCCTATGATAAGATTGGTAATCAATTCCATGGTGGAATCAGCTGAGCTGCTGAGAAGCTGGTCTGCTTCCAGTATAAAAGAAGAAGCTTTGAAAAAGGTCTCTGGGCTTTTTGGCAGTTTTGGACCATGCGTGTATCTGAGTCTTCATTCAGCAGTCTGCTATGTTTCCTGCCAATCTTCAGACTGTCTCTGGACTTGAACCAGTGTCCTGCCATGTAGTTGGGTAATTTTGGGACTGTGCCATTTTATTTGTCAACCTTGGGTTTGTCAGCCTCAGCAGCCAGCAGCTGCCTGAGCTAAGAGATGCTTCCAGCTTCAGTGGGCCAGGAGCAAGAGGCAGAACTGAAGCTCAAGGTCGGGGAGCTTTCACCCAGCCCCTAGAGCTGGCACTTTGAACTCGGACTTCTAGTTTCCCAAACTGTAAGAGAATAAATCCCTGTTTGTTCAAACCACCCATTGGTGGTATTTTCTGTTAGAGTGGCACAAGATGACCAAAACAATAGTTAATAAAACATAGGTAACATCTTTGGACACTTATCGGTAGAGCTGAAAAGCTTTGTAATATTTGCCCAAGTAGGGCAAAGGCTGGGCTGGCCCAAGAGGTCTGAGGAGCCATGAGGTCAATGAACCAGGAAGCAGACACTGAAAAGACAGGGAGCGTGGGAAGTAGAGCTTGGAGTTAGAAAAACAAAAGGGAAGAACGCACTCAGCATTCCTCAAGCTGAAAGAAGTGAGGAAAAAATTTAAGCCTCGAGTTGCAATATTGAAAGATTCTATGGGCAAAATATTGAATGATGCAGGAAGCATCAAAAGAAGATGGAAGGAATATACAGAGTCACTGTACCAAAAAGAACTGGTAGATCTTCATCCATTTCAGGAGGTGGCATATGTTCAAGAACTCTGGTAGCATAGTGGCTAAGGCACTTGACTGCTAACCAGAAGGCTGGCGGTTCAAACCCACCAGCCACTCCTCGGAAGGAAGGTTGGGTAATCTACTTCCGTAGTGATACTGCCTCGGAAACCCAAGGAGGGGTCGCTATGAGTCGGGGCCGACTCGACGGCACATAACAACAACAATAACATCTTTCTGTTCTTCTTTGCTTTCAGCCAAGATCCATTTGATGTCAGTAATGATATCCTTTGTTCTATGTTCTGTTCTGAATCTAGCTTGAATTTCTGGAAGTTCCCTGTCAATATACTGCAGCAACTATTTTTGGAATAAATTTTTGTGCATATGCTTATTGCTTTTTGTAAGACTACATACTTCTATTTTCTGTTTTTTGAACTTTATGATTAGTGCTGGGGTGAGATGACATCTCATTATTGTTTTGATTTACTTTTCTCTAATGACTAATGATCACAAGGTTTTCTTCATGTGTTTGTTAGGGCCTGTTTTATTTACTTCATGCTGTGTTAACAGAAATACCACAGGTGAATGGCTTTAACAAATAGGAGTTTATTCTCTTACTGTTTTGGAAGCTAGAAGTCCCAGTTCAAAGTGCCAGGTTTTAGGGGCTGGGTGAAAGCCCCTTGACCTTGGGCTTCAGTTCTGCCTCTTGCTTCTGGCCTGCTGGAGCTAGAGGCATCTCTTCATTCAGGCAGCTGCTGGCTGCTGAGGCTGACAAATCCAAGGTCAACAAATAAAAATGGTACAGTCCCAATATTACCAAACAACTCAAGGCCACTAACTCAAGTCCAGAAGACAGTCTCAAGATCAGCAGACAATTATAGCAGGCTGTTGAACCATGACTCGGCTACATGCAGGATTCAAGTGTGCCAAAAAGCTGCAGACCATTCCTAAAGCTTCTCCTTATATACTGGGAGCAGACCATATCCCTAAGGCAGCTACTCAGCTTGGAGTTGATTACCAGTCATATCATGGGGAATAACTATATCCAGCTGCCCAGCCACTCAAAACCAGGCCCAGTCAAGTTGACACATAACCTTAACTACCACAGTGCCGGAATGTCTTCTTTGGTGAAGTGTCTGTTCATGTCCTCTGCCCATTTTTAAATTGGATTATTTGTCTTTTTGTTGTGAAGGTGTTGAAGTTTTCTCTAAATTTTAGAGATTAGCCCTTGTCCAGACACATCTTTGCCAATTTTTCTTTCCCAGTCTGTGGGTTCTCTTTTTACTCTTTTAGTGAAATCTTTTGATGTGCGTAAGTGACTAATTTTTAGGAGATCCCAGTCATCTATTTTGACTTCTTGTCTTTGTGCATTTTTAATTATATTCAATAGTGTGCCTGAATAGTATACTTGAATTATGTCCAATAAGTTTATCCCTATTTTTTCTTTGATGCTCTTAATGTTTTTAGGTTTTATGTTCAGATCTTTAATCCAACTTGAGTTCGTTTTTGTATATGGTGTGAGATATGGGTCCCTGTTTCATTTTTCTGCAAATGTATATCCAGTTTTAATAGCACCATTTATTAAAGAGACTATTTCTTCCCTGTCTAATGAGTTTTGGCCCTTCTCAAAGACCATCTGTCTATAGGTAGATGGATTTACTTCTGGGTTCTCAATTCTGTACCCTTGGTCTATGTGTCTGTCATTGTGCCAACATCAGGCTGTTTTGACTACTGTGGATGTTATTAGGTTTGAGACTGGGAACACTACTTTGTTCTTCTTTAGCAATGCTTTACTTATCTGGGGTCTCTTTCCTTTCCATATAAAGTCAGTGATTAGTTTTTCCATCTCTCCATCAAGAAAGATGATGGAATCTAGACTGGGATTGCATTATATCTGTAGATCATTTTGGGTAGTATTGACATTTTAATGATATTAAGTCTTTCTATACATGAACATGGTATAGTCTTCCATTTATGTAGCTCTTTCTTGGCTTTTTGTAAAAATGTTTTGTAGTTTTCTTTGTATAGGTTTTTTTTTTTTTTTGTTAGATTTATTCCTAAGTACTTTATCTTTTGGGTGGTTATTGTAAATGGTATTGCTTTCCTAATTTTTTTTCAGAGTTCTCTTCATTAGTTTAAAGGAATCCGACTGATTCTGTATATTGATCTTGTACCCTGTCACTTTGCTGAAACTGTCAATTAGTTCTAGTAATTTTACTACTGAGTCTTTGGGATTTCCTATGTATAAGATCATATGATACTTTATGAATTATATAGTGCCAATTGACTGAATTGTCCCACAAGACTATATTCCTAAGCCTTCAAATCCGGAACCAGGGTGTTTGGTTATGTCTAAGAAGTGCTCCCCTATGCGCTATACCAAAAAACAAAACAAAACAAAACACACCAAACCCACTGCCATCAAGTTGATTCTGACTCATAGCAAACCCCATTGGGTTTCTGAGGTGGTAAATCTTTACAGAAGTAGATTTTCCAGTCTTCCTTCTGAGGTGGCTGGTGGGTTTGAACTGCCAGCCTTCTGGTTAGCAGTCAAATGCCTTAGGCACTATGCTAGATGGTGTTTAAGCCAGGAGACTGTAAAAAATGAGCAAGGAGAGACTACAGTACACAGAGTCCTAGTGTTCTCTCATGTGAAGAGGTACTGGAGATGAGAAACCAGAAAATGAGACTGAGAAGCAGTCAGAAAGAAAGAAGGAAGGAAAACCAAGAGATTATGTTGTCTTGGAAACCAAGTGAAGAAAATATTTCAAGGAGGAGAGAATTATCTCTGTCAAGTGCTTACTGACAGAACAAATAAGATTAGGACAGAGAGTGGTTGGCTGGATCTGGCACTGTGGAGTCAGTCAATGGTGGAGTAGTGATAGCAAAGGCCTGATGGGGGTGAGTTCAAGAGAAAGTGAGAAGAGAGAACTTGGAGACAGAAAACAGACAACTCTTCAAGGAGTTTGGCTATAAAGGAAGAGAGAAAATGCATGATAATGGGGGAAGTGATGTTAAGAGTTTTTTTTTAATAAGAGCACTCATACTTGGGGGAGAAATAAAGGACAGCTGGTCTGTGAGTGAATGTCAGGAATTGATTTGTGGCTTGAGGAGATATGTGAGAATTTGCAGTAGTCACTAAGGGAAACAAGGAAGCGGGGTGTTGGTTGAGACTAGAACTTGAAATTTTGGAAAGCTCACACTTAGCAAGTGTAGTATCCCACTATCTTTCTTCACATTCTTAATTTCAGTCACAGAATTAAGAAATTCCCTGATGGTATTGTTGTTGTGTTGTTGTTATGTGGTATAGACTCCTTAAAATTGACTTGATTACTGTTATTTCATATTGATGGAAAGAATGTAATATCCAGAGAAAACAAATTGTCTTCAAAGATTCATAACCAAAAATGGTAATTGTCATTTATCATTCTACTGCTAGAGACATAATAAGATGAGGTTCCAAGATGGAAAGAAGGGGAAATATTTAAGAAGTTCAGTAGTTCTTTATAATTTACAAGGCCATTGTACATTTAATCTCATCTAATACTCTAATAGCTCTGTAGTATAAGAATTACTCCCCTATAAACTGAATTTCAGAGATGTTAGGTAGAATCTCTATCATTACAAAAATCACAACAGGCAGAGCTCTAAGTATAAATTCTCTGACTTGAAGAATGTAAGTGTTATCTTGATAATGCTCTTTTTAATTTGTGAAGTATTGTTTATATACTCTTTTTAAAATATACAGCATGGATACTGATGGGTCAATGACAGTGAATTGGGATGAATGGAGGAAGTATTTTTTATTAAAACCTGCAAGAAATGTTGAGGAAATTGCTGACTACTGGAACCGTTTTGCTGTAAGTGGTCTTTTTTCTTGTTTTTTAAAACTACTGGTTTATCTTACGTCATGAGTCATGGACATAAAATATAATGCATCATGAACTGTTAGAAAATTATGGAAGGCAGAAAATTAAGTATTACAATCACTTCCTAGCTAGTGAGGTTTTTTTTTTCTTTCCTTGTTTTCAATTTTTATTGTGATTTGGGTGAAAGTTTATAGAGCAAATTCGTTTTCCATACAGCAGTTCACACACATTTTGTGTCACCACATTGACTGCAATTCTTCACAATGTAACAGCTCTCTTCCCACTTCCTCCCTGTAGTTACCTCTTCTCTGTGTCCTTCTCGCCCCTGCATTCCTGCCCCCTGAGCTGTTTCCCTGTGCAAACACTGACCTTCTATTCTCCCATGATTGATCATTCCAAGGAGTGTATCTACCTGATGTAAATGTTCACCCCATATTGGCTGGAAGTCACAGGATTAAGTTCAGTTCCAGACTAGCTATTGAGGTCTTGGTATAGAATACTGTTTCCTCAGAAATTTTATGATGTCAAACATCTGAATTGGCATATAATATCTATTTCCACTTGTGAAAGGCAAGTTTCAACTTGTGAAAGGCACCTATTTGTTGAGAGTAGCTGTGCTGTTTAAGAGCTAATTAATTACTGTTACTCAGTACCATCATTCTGTATTACAGTTCCCTGTTTACTTACCTGAATCTCCAAATCAAACCAAACTCCCTGCCTTTGAGTCAGATCTGATTCATAGTGACCTCTCCTTGGGTTTCTGAGCCAGTATCACTATGGAAGTAGATTGCCCAACCTTCCTTCCAAGGAGTGGCTCATTGGTTTGAACTGCCAGCCTTCTGGTTAGCAGTGAAATGCCTTAGGTACTACACCACCACAGCTCCTTACCTGAAACTGGGGCCTGTGAATTTCTTTCTCTAAAGTACCTGCCCAATGAATATTTGTTGGATGAATGAGTAAACCACAATCACTCTTTCATGAGTACTATGCTTCTAGTTTTCTCATATTCATATATAGTTATATGTACATCATAGTCTGCATAGCTCTTATCTCCTGGTACACTTAGAGAGCTATGCTTCATGATTGGCAGGAAACAATTTTTAATGTTTTGCCTGAGAACTCCAAATTATCATCTACACTATGCTTCTAAATCTGTCTGTCTATCTATTTAATATAACTCACTTAAAAGATTTTTGCTACAAAGACAGAAAAAGTGTGATAATGGAGGAAGTGGGGTCAAGAAATACATTTTTTTAAGATGAGAATGTTTGAACACTTATGTTTTGGGGATATTCCAATGTATATTTTAATATCCATATATAGCCCAATATATAATTTAATAATCATGTGTTTTAAATATTCATATATGTAAATATTCATATATATAGTGTGTGTGTTGTGTGTGTACATGTGTGCATATATATGTGTGTGTGTGTGTGTGTGTGTGTATATATATATATATATATATATATATCTCCAGTCTTCCTTCTGAGGTGTGGCTAGTGGCTTTGAACCACCAGCCTTCTGGTTAACAGTCAAATGCCTTAGGTACTATGCCACCAGAGCTTTTATATATATACGTGTGTGTGTATGTATGTATGTGTATGTGCGTGTGTGTGTATATACTTTCTGCAACTATTGAGATAGGGATTATTATTCCTATTTCATGGATGAAGAAACCAAAGGCATACTTTACTTATTAGTCCTGTGACCTTGAGGACATAATTTAGCTTTTGTGAGTCTCATTTTTTCAGCTATGAAATAGAGATGTTATTATTGCCTACCACATAGAGACCATGCTTCAATTAATGAGACAATTCATGTAAAAGCCTGGAAACAGGAAGTGATTAATTAATGCTAGTAGGTGGTCAAGAAGGACTCTGGAGCTAGTATGTTTAAGTTCAAATCCAGGCTCCGTCTTTACAAGCTGTGTGACCTCTCCCTGCCTCAGTTTTCTAATGTGTAAAATGAGGCCAAGAAAAGCACCTACTCATTACATTGTGAGGATTAAACTAGTTAATACAGATTAAGCACTCAGAACAGCATCTGATGCATCTTAAGTACCATATGTGTTACTTGTTATTATTGTTGGTAGAAAACAAGGAACTTTGAACTGAATCTTGTTTTGCAAAGCTTGTGCTTTCTATTGTTTCTTCATGAAATCTATGTGTTTTTTTCCCATTCATTTTTCTTTAACATTTTCTTTTAATAGTCTGTTTTAGAAAATTACAATAAATAGCATTCTGCCTTATCCTCCCTCCCACAAACCCTTGAATCTCAAGCTGACAAAATCAAATACTATATGAAATCTAGATTGTCTTTAACTGCCTTCTAAGGAAGGTGAAGTAAGTGAAACGGAGTTTTGTATGGGGCTCTACAGTGTTTCCTGTTATCTGTGAAAGATTCCTGTGAGATAGGGAGAAGATCAGTAGGATCACATTCCTGTTGACTATGGATAGGTAGGAAAAATCAAAGAAATTCCACTGTAGCCTTGGTTTTAGGGGTGTACCTTCTTAACTATTAGTCAGTTGTCATTGAATCAATTCCAACTCCTTGTGATACCATGTGTATCAAAAAAGAACTATGTTTCGTAGGGTTTCCTAGTATCAATTTATAGAATACCTGTAATACATGCAAAGTACTTAGAAGTGCCCGGCATGTGTTATTGTTGTTAGTTATCAAGTCGATTCTGAGTCACGGAGACCCCATCTATGCAGACTAAAACTGCTCCATAGGGATTTCAGGCTCTGACCTTTCAGAAGCAAGTCACCAGGCCTGACTTCCCAGATGCCTGTGGTCTAACCACCAGCAATTTGTTAGCAGCCAAGCTCGTTAACCGTTTGTACCTCTCAGGGACTCCTCTTAACTTTTACAATCACATTTATGAACCTTCAGTCACCAATGTTCTTTTAGTGAAAAATATGTAGTTGTTGAGATAAGATTTTATCCTTTTAGTAGTGTTTACTCTGTACCCTTCCTTTTAAAGATAAGTGAAAGAAATTCAAGTCAGGGAAAAAATAGACTTATTGTGTGCTTACTATAGGATGCACTTTCTGTTTCATACTGAAGATAAAGAGCAAACCACATGGATAATAGCTGTTATGTAGATTAAATGACACAGTACCTGATTTAACTAGTAAAGTTATATAAATTGAACTCAGTAAACTACCTTTTGGGTATAGTACTAAGATAGGGTTCTTCATTTGTTCCAAGGGCATGTGTACTGTTTGATTTACAGTAACTTCACAAAAACCAAAGATACTTGGCAGTAGAGTTGTACAGCACAGATGTAGAAAGCAGCCAGTTTACTGGGTGAAATACAGAGGGCAGGCTCTGGATTCAGGCTGCTTTGCTTAAATCCCAGCTCTGCCACTTGTATTGAGGTGGAGTAAATTATTTAATCTCACTGGGCCTCAGTTTCCTTAACTGTAAAACCAACATAACAATACTTACTCTCTGAAGGTTATCATGAAAATTAGAGATGACATATGTAACTGTTTAATACAATGCTGGCTCTGTTCAGTAAATGTTAGCTTTTACTTATCGAACAGATATTAATTGAGCTATTTCCTAGTCACATTATTGCTAATGACTACACACAACCTAGGTACTTGGATGCCTAAATTACCACTAAATAATCTACATTTTATTGGTAGCTATTATTCACTGAGTGTTTTTCAGTGCCAAACATCATGCTAAGTGCTTTATATGCTTTAAGTCATTTGGTTTAAACAACTTTACGAAGTAGGTATTACTAATATCTTCACATTTCCTTTGAGGAAACTGAGAAAGACCCAGAGAAGTCATGCAACTAAGACTTAGGGCGTTGGGATTCGAAGCCAATCTGTCTTTTGGACCCAGGTCCTTATTCATGACATATATGGTAGACTTTCTAGACTCTCAAAAAATCCTAGTTTTGATATAAATAATTACTTACTCTCACTCACTGCCGTTGAGTCAGTTTCGACTCACAGTGACTCCTCCTTGGGTTTCTGAGGTGGTATCTGTATGGAAGTAGATTGCCCAATCTTCCTACTGAGGAGTGACTGGTGGGTTTGAACTGCCAGCCTTCTGGTTAGCAGTCAAATGCCTTAGGCACTGCGCCACCAGAGCTCCTACGATATAAATAGAACAGAGCTTATTATCTGCTGTGGGGCACCACATGGAAAGATCTAGATTTTTTTTTGTCAATTCCAATGTAGGAAAAGATATAAAAGGAAACTTGCTTTTAAATATACATGTATATTTTATATTTGTTTTGTTAGAGGTAGAGTTTGACTGAACCAGTGGATAGGAATCCACTAGATCTTGAAGACTGAAGATACTTTTTACATTATTGTCAATTACATAAATAGTTATTACCTTACTAGTAGTTTGTATAGCCTGTATTTCACTATAACCCAGAAAACCAAACCCACTGCCATGGAGTTGATTCTGACTCATAGCCACCCCTATTGGGTTTCCAAGGCTGTAAATCTTTACAAACTAGATGCTGTAAATCTTTACAAAGTAGATTGCTTTGTCTTCCTCCTGCAGAGCAGCTGGTTGATTTTGAACCACTGACCTTCTGGTTAGCAGTCAAATGCCTAACCCACTATACCACCAGAGCTCCTTATATTTCACTATGTTATTGTTATATAGATCAAAATATTTATTAGAACTTGATAGATTGTTCCTTTTGTATTCAATCTTAAACATGATGTAGATTTTCTTTTTTTTTTTTTACATGATATAGATTTTCAAAATGGGAAATAGAAAGGTTATCTTAGACACGATAAAAATAGTAATTACACCTACTCACTTACCGACTATCTAGTTATCAGACATTTTGCACTTAAGACAATAGTGAAAAAAATCTATCTATTTTGCACATTAATGATGTAAGTCTGGTAGTAACAAATACCGAGGTGTGAGATGAGAGTAACATTGACTATGATAGTTAAGATTATCTGTCAACCTGGCTGAGCCATGCTTCTCAGTGGTTTGGCAATTATGTAATGATGTCATTTGGCAGTTTCATAATGATATAATTTGTCAGTTATGTAATAATGCAATCTGGAAGTTATATAATGATGCAGTCATCCTGTTTTGTGATCTGATGTGGTTATCCTCCATTTTTACATAAAACCTATTTTCTTTTTTTTTTTTTAATTTTATTTTATTTAGATTTGGGTGAAGATTTACAGAGCAAAATCA